TGCTATCTTCTACTGAGGAAATAAGCCACAAGTGCTCTGAGGGAAGTCACTTCTCAATAAGAGTAAAACACAGCTCTCTTGGCTCCAACCAGGGTTCTTTCCATCTCACCAGGCTTCATAAACACATATCAGATAAACTGCGATTTTTTCAGGACCCCTTACTGTTATCAGTTGGAGTATGTTGTATCTCATAGCTATAGGAAAGTAAATACTCCTGCTAATAGTATCAACAAAATCTTCTACAGTCCACAGTCTTTCAGTACCATAAACAGATAAATAACTTAGTGCCACTTAAAAGCGACAGAAATGGACTAGTACATATTGTATACTGTGTTATACTGAAGAACCAATACAAAAGTATTTCAGGAGCTTCTGGGAATGTGATGGAAAGAATAACTCAACCCATTTGGTTCCCCATAGTATTAAAAATGTAGCTAGTTGCAAATAGTATGAAATAAATTTACTCCTAACATGCTATAATGTCTACTAACGTTGATATGCAATTGCCAAATAGCAACTTTGAGTATAATAAAATATAGTAGCAATATTACTACCTTAGTTTTAGAGTCAAAAGAGATTTTAGAAAGTATCTCATTTAATCCTCTCATTTTATAGACAATAAAAATGGTGAATACCTGAGCAATTATATTGTCACAGACACTTATAAGGGCTTTAAATATACAACATCATTTAATCTCACTGCCTCTGAGGTGGGTTACTACTACTGTTTACAGATAAGGAAACACAGCAACAGAGAGGTTAAGTGCCTTGCCCAAAATCACACAGCCAGTTAATAGTAGATTGGAGTCTAGGAAATCTGATTCCAGTCTACTCTCTTAATTGCTATCTTCTACTGAGGAAATAAGCCACAAGTGCTCTGAGGGAAGTCACTTCTCAATAAGAGTAAAACACAGCTCTCTTGGCTCCAACCAGGGTTCTTTCCATCTCACCAGGCTTCATAAACACATATCAGATAAACTGCGATTTTTTCAGGACCCCTTACTGTTATCAGTTGGAGTATGTTGTATCTCATAGCTATAGGAAAGTAAATACTCCTACTAATAGTATCAACAAAATCTTCTACAGTCCACAGTCTTTCAGTACCATAAACAGATAAATAACTTAGTGCCATCATTACACTAATGGAAGCATAAGAACATTACGAATAACCAAAACAATATTACCACTTAAGTGTTACTTTACGTTTCTCATCAGCATATGTTATGGAATGAATTGCGTCCCCTCCCAAATTTATATGTTGAAGTCCTAACCTCCACTACCTCAGAATGTGATTATATTTGGAGACAGGGCCTTTAAAGAAGTAATTAAGGTAAAATGAAGTTATACGTGCGAGCTCTAATCCAATATAACTGGTGTTCTTATAGGAAGATAAGGTTAGGACACAAATAACGCAGAGGGAAGACCATGTGAGGACACAGGGAGAAGGTGGCCATCTGCAAGCCAAGGAGAGAGGCCTCAGAAAAAACCAACCCTGATGACACCTTGATCTTGGACTTACAGCTTCCAGAAATGTGAGAAAATAAACTTTGTAGTTTAAACCACCGAGTCTGTGGTCTTCTGTGCAGCCCTAGCAAATTAATACAGCATAATTGTCAGAGCCCAGGGAGTCTAAGGAATAGTGATACTTTGGAAAACACTTTGGTCATTAAGGGGATTCTTTGTTTAGTAAATTTTTGCTTTGCATACAGCAATTAACAAAAAGAATTGTCCAATTCAGGGTACAGTGTCCCTCTCTGTGTACAACATGCTTTCCTTCATAGGTAAGTTCAATTAAAATTCTTTGGTAAGGGCCCCATAAATATTTCCTCATTTTTGCCCACCCTTTCAATCACCAACTTTCTTAAATCCAGGGCAAATATAGTAACCAAAGTAACACTGACCATTCTCCTGGCTTTCTGTGTCTTTAGCCACAGCTCCAGACTGAGGTGGAACAGACAGGTAAACAGGGCAGGGATTTCTGGCTTAACAACTGGCCTGTAGCTTGGTCAGTAGTTAAGACATTTTAGCTTGGAGTTGTCCATCTTGAGGAAAAATTCTGTTCTTCGATACCTGGTGGGATAAAAAAAAGAAGAAATATGTTTCTAGAAAATGGTGTTTTGGAAAGTAAGCTCTAGAAATTTTAATGGACATCATGAAAACTGAGATCTTCTCCCCTGGGTTCCCACAGTAAGGGACTAAGACAAGTGTTCTTGGGAGAAAGATGCTTTGGAAGGTTATCTTTCTTTCTGGAACTTTCAAATTTGAGATGTTACTCGAAGATACATAGTATTTGCCAGTTCCTTTGAAAAATGTTTATTACAAGCCCTTATACCACTTTCCTAAAACTCAAGGGAACATTAAACCCTTTTGCATAATGTTTTCCTTTTTTAGGTCTTTTGCAAAACAGCATGAGCAAGAATATTGCTTTTCTTTTGGAATGAAATGTCTGTATGGTTGAAGGGAGGGAGTTTGGATAACCTGAACATTTCTCAGTCTTGTCATAAATATCAACACGTAAGATAAAAAACAATGCTGCCAAACACTTACCACCAGAGAATTCCTCAAGTAGAGTTACACTAGGGCAAAAGCTGGTTGCCAATTTTGATAACATGTAAAAGATTTTAATGCCTTTAGATCCATAAAGCACCAAAAAGTGACAAAAATGATAATCATAATAAAAAAAGAAAAACAAAATTCTGATATGTGTCAGATTTTAGATATGTTTTGGTGTCTTTAAATCCATAAAGTACTAGGAAGTGGTAAAAACAAGAATAGTTAAAAAAAAAAAAAAAAAACCCGAAGTGTTCCAGAAGTTCTAACAGTGCCAGATTTTATATAAGTTTTATTTTCTTAAGTAGACAGTATATACTTAATAAACATACATGCGATTTGCTAAATATTTATGATCATATGTGGGTGGGACAGAGGGCTAAGAAGGAAATGTGTATTTTTAAGCACATTGCTAATGTTATCAATTTCCAGGAGCATGCACTGAAGTGCAATATTACTCATAAAGCAAAAGTAAGATGGTTTTTCTTTTCTTTCTTTCTTTTTTCTTTTGCTAGCTAGTTCTGTATTAAACAAATGCTGCTGGCAGCAGTAATAATGTTGTGAACAATAAAGCTTTCTTTGTCTAACATTACTGACAAATGTTTGGTTGTTCAGAAGAAGCCTTCTGTATGTATCTGAAATCCTGTAGGATGCTGTGTCACAGTTTTTCACGAAGAGATGTCTGCATTGGGGTGTAGGTCTTTTCTACTGCATTTCTTCAAGAGTTGATTTCTCTGTAGATAATCATCAGACAGATGCCCCAAATGAGCAAATCAGCATTGAATCCTTCAACCGGCATGCCTACTTGAAGTGGTGGCTTAATCTGTGGAAATGATGTGAAACTTTAAGAACAAGTCCAATAGTTGGCAAGGCTCGAGGGATTTGTGAAGAGATCGGGACCTTTCTAGTGCAGATTAACAGGTCATCAGTTCAAATGCAGCTGTGCTCAGCTATTACTAAATATAATTGCACACAATGGCTTCCTCAGCCTGCTGTGAAGTGGGCAGATGCTCTTGGTTCCCTCAAAGACAGCTGGGGAACTGAAAACCCAGCTAAGAAGACCACTGTTTCAGCTGGCACTCACGGAAACTCGAACTCCCCAGGAGACCCAGGCCTGCTGAGCCCTCTGCTCTCCGCCTTCTTCAAACATCTCCCGAGCTCTGCAGGCCCAGGACGAGTGCTGGGATAAAGCATGTTCTGTGACTGTGTGAATGCCACCAGTTTTGCAAATCTTTCATGCATGAATCCAGCTGGCTGAGAATGGACCTAGTGAATAGAGGACTTGGCTTCCCAGGTTGACTCCATGTCTCTGAGAAAGTCAAGTAGCTCTGAATTTCCTCCAGGCCCCTGTCCTATACCAAAGCACCAGGAGATATCCTAGGTGGTTACTTTCAGGGCAGTTACAGTGCAGGCCTTCGATTTGGCTCGGGTACAGTAGAATTTGCATAGATGTACATGCCATGTTCACAGAGTCTCCAATTCTATGATGATATTCAGGACCACGACTGTGCTGGAACCCAGTACGCAGGGCTCAGCTTCCCATGAAATAAAAACATTTTTTATAATACTGAAAAGTAATTGCATCCTAGGTCGTCATAGTAGAATTTTTCTGTTCAGACCAGCCCTGTGTAGAGACAAGTTGCAGCTGCTTGTTCCTCTTTAGTTGGAAAAACTGACAAGCAGGATGCCGTCTTTCTATGACCACCATGCCTTCTCCAACATCCACCCTGGACCCAAGAAAGACACGGGGGACTGGCAGGAGGCAGCTGTGGCTGGGCAGAAAAAGCAATGGTCTGTGGTTCTGGAAACTTGGGTTGCCATCCTGGATCTACCAAGAATAATACTGGCTAGTCCCATAACCTCTTTAGAACCTCAGTTTTCCCATCTATAGAAGTGGAGCATTGCACTAGGGAGGCTTCTGAACTATGATGTGCTTTCCAGGTGCTATTTTAAAAATAGTTTGAGTACTTCAGAAGACAAGGATTATCAAAATTAAAATCATTGTGGCTTAAGCCATTAGTAGTAATTAAATTATATAGGCTCACAGTGAAAAATGTTGGTTTTGTAGAAACCTAGGGATGTGTTTACAAAGTTTAGAAACTTGGGAAAAGAAAGAAAGCAAAACCCACAAGGGCATTTAAATGAAGATTTCTTTATGAGATGCATGTGTGTGACAGACTGCACAGAAAACGGTGAAAGTAACCATGTGAGTGAGTGAAATACAGGTGTGTTTTTTGAAAACATATATTTGTTCTAACGTTTTATTTACTGTGTCCATTATTTTTTTCAGCAACGAAAAACAGACTTCCAAACCGCTTTTATCTTTAAATTTACTTTATGGAGGTAGTCATACTGCCTTTAGGAAAACTTTATTGGACTGCACTTACTACATTATCTAGAAAACAACGTGTTTATATGCCAATAGACCCACCTGCCCCCTCCCCAAAACAAAAAATATAGATGTCTGGTTGTGTCTTCCTCCATAAATAAAAGAGGCAGAGACAGTAAATACAGAAAGGTGGTACCCTGCATTACCATAATGCATCAGAAACCCCAGGTGAGGATAAAAGTGCTATTTATCAACCCACAGAGAGCTATGATTCTGTGGATTTTCATGTTTTTCATGTTACTGGAGTTTAGATGATTCCAGAGTTTGGTTTTTTATCTTACAACTTCATCTTTGGAAAGCTTTTTAGTAAAATTAGGAGGTAGAGTATAGAAGGTGCCAGCCCGATAGGGAACAAATACAAATGAGTGAGACATGTGGAGTATCCAAGCCCCCCAGAGAGCAGCAGAAGGCAGGGGACTTTCCGAATTCAAAGAGAATCTTGAGTGTCAAGATACGCGTCATTTCCACATCCATGTACTTGTTTGCGACTCCAAGCTGTGGTAACACCACACGATTTCTGTTTAGTATCTTCCCCAAAACACCATTCCGGGATGAATTCATTTGTTTGATTCTGAAACAGAAATTTAGTAGAAAATAAAACAGAAGCATGGAGGCCAATATTTGCATTAATTATACTACTTTTCACCTTAAAGTACATTTCTCACTCTTCCTGTGTTTCTTTCTCTCTCATAAATATGTATGCATGTATCTAATATTAGTTACTTATCTTTGTAAAAAAAAAATTGTGGCCTCTTAACATTAAAGTAAACCAGAGTGTGAAGAATACAGCATTTCTTTCTCCTGTTTTAATTCAAAAGTTTTCAAAAAGCAGTCTGGGTTTCTAAGGTTAATGGGACAACAGAGAGGTATGACTAACGTTTACTGAAACCCATCCTATTCTAGGCTCTGTGCTATGTGCTACAAATGTTTTCTCATTTCCCCTCATACCAGCCATCTGACGCAGATATTGTTCTCCCACTATACAGATGAGCAAGTCAGCTCAAGGTCACAGGCTGGGAGTCAAGCTACACCTGAAATGGGTGGCAAGCTTGGGATTTTACACTGTACAGTTTACGAGAAAACAAGTAGCTTGCTTTATTTTTAAAAAAGGACCTCGCTCTGAAGATGCCACTCAGCTGATACTGGAAGAAAAAAATGTATGTCAGTTAACAGGAATGTGAAAGAGAATGAGTTAGACCAGAAAAGATGGCTTCATATCAGAAGAGACCTTGGCACATCAGAGTTATGCTCAATGAATTAAGTTGAAGCTTTTGCACACTTGAGTCCTAGTGTGTGAATTCTGGCTCCACATGTAGGAAATCACGGGTGGAGACTGTGGCAGGGCTTCCTTGGAGAAGGCATTCCTACTTTCCCTGCTCAAGACTGGGTTGCATGCCTCCCCCCATCCCCATCAGAGGCTCCCATAGTACCTGTGCTTCTTGTTTGCAGAACCAATCACCCTTCTAGTTACTTCTTCCCCATCTGTCTTCCCAGCTCAATTGGAGGCTCCAGCAGTGCTAGGATCATCTCTCTTCTTCACCATGGAACACCTGGCATCCAGGGCCCAAGGTTAGTCTCCAATTTGAGGTCCTGGGCCTTGGGCCACTCCCTTTCTCTTCCTATCCTGGACACTCCAGCTTTGTACTCCATCTCCGTCCTCCTCCACCCCACCATAGCTGGTCCTGTGCCTCCTCCTCGGGGCCCTTTGGACAGGGAATTCTGGAATCTTGGGTACCTGGAGCATGGCCTACAGAGGGGCCTGGGGCCAGAGCAAGCTCTGTAGGTTATAGGGTCCCTGCCTGGGTTGTCTGAGTCTAAGGGCAGTGTTGCCAGCACCCAAGAAGCACTATTGAACAAATGATTAACAACGAATACACTGACGTGCTGCCACAGGGAGAGAGCATTAAGCCAACCTCTGGAGGCTGTGCAGGGGGGTTCCCTGGAAGAGAGCGCAGTGCTGAGGGGCAGCAGTGGTAGACCCTGGATGAAACACTCACTGAAGCTTATTGCACTCTTGCTATTAGCTTCCATCACTAAACCATAACCTTTAAGGACAGAGAAAGTTCCATCTATTTGGGTGCTATATTAGTCCGTTTATGTTGCTTATAACAGAATACGTGGAACTGGGTGATTTATAAAGAAAACGACATTTATTGCTTACAGTTTCTGAGGCTGAGAATTCCAAAGTCCATCTGGTGGTGGTGACAGTGACCCAGGGGTCTCACACTGCAAGATGGTGGAAGCAGAGAGAGCAGAGAGAGAAAGACAGACTCTCCTCTTCTTCTAAAGCCCTGAGAACCACTCCCCTGACCACCATTTTTAATCCATTCACTACTGCAGGGTCCTACAATCTAATCACCTCTTCAAGGCTCCACCTTTCAATTACCATAATAGGATTTCCCACCCTCTTAACAGTCACAGTGGGGCCTAAGTTCCTAATACATAAAACTTGGGAACACAATTCAAGTTTCAGAGAGTTTTGGGGGGACATAATTTGATCCACTTCAGGTGCCTAATAAAGAAATAATCCCAGGCTTCTCAGTAATGACCCAAACAAATAGAATTTCGACACCCTGAGAAATAACCTAGAGCTTCTGTTCTTTCCTTCTCACTAATTTCTAGATCCACAGAGCATGTCTAACCCATTCCTGACAACGTATTATAGTTCAGATGATGAAGTGAAATTGCAAGGCAAGGTAAATTCATGCTTATGCAGCTGAGTCTTAAGGTAGAGGACAATGAAACTGGATTATCCAAATAAAACAATTAAAAAACCCAACCAGAAATTTTTGCTATATGAAAACAAAATCACCTCTCTTACAACTAGACCAATGCCGCGTGTTGTTTTGAAGTTGAAGTTCAGGGACAGCATGAGAGCAGGGAGTACTGAGAGAACCTTCGTGAAAGAGAAGAGAAAGTTCCTGGGGATGAACCAGACGCCATTCGTTTTCCTCTTTTTTTTTTAATCTTAAGAATACAAGAATGATTCTGAGAGATTCAGAACGTACCTCATTTATAAAAGGAGAAAAACAAAAAGAGAATGTTATTCAGTAGACAGGAACTCCATTAGAAAAAGAATTGACAATTACTTAGAAGTCAGGAAGCCAATTTTCAAATCAATATCTTGCTTAAGAAGGGTAACGAGATGCCGTGTCAAAGTTGGAAGCATTATCAAAGCTGCATTTACTTTGCACCAGTCCTGAGGTGGTCCTGAACAATGACGAAACTTCTGAGAAAGGAAGGACAGGCAGTTACAATCTGACCTAAACCATAACCCTCTACTAACCAAATCATTCAACACAGGATGGAGCTGAAAATCAGCTTTGAGTTGCTTTTATAATCACATTTGCATGGTTTTAACCTAACTGCCAAAGGACACCCCTAACCAAGCCCTACAAGCCCTACCCCCACCCCTAGAATAAACAGCATACCTATAAACAGGAACAAGCACAGAACTGGGTCCCTTGCATCCCACTCAGATTCTTGGTGGCATTGTAAAACACAACAGTCTGAATGTTATTAAAGGGGAAGTGGAAAACAAAAGGAGATTTAAAGTAAATTACATGAAACTGATTTTCATCATCTCTGCTTTATTTAGTACGTGAGAAATTCAATGTCATCCACATATGTATAAGGTACTTCAAAAAGTTCATGGAAAGGTTCGTATTATCTTTCAATTCTACTGTTCAATGGACTTTTTGAAGTACCCTTGTACGTCACTGAAGAGTAATGTCATTTTAATTAGCCGAAGGGGCAGAAATATATTTAAGTTGCAGTATCGTTATATATTGAGGAGGTGCTCAGTAAAGTGTACTCTCAGAGGAAGGAGAGACACAGACTGCTAAAATAGAATCACGAAGAAGGAACCAAATTTGTTTTTTCAATGTTTGGCACAAAGCCTTTTCCCATTTGTTTTAAATTATTATGAAAAGTAAACATTTTGGTAAATGTTTCAGAGAGATTTATAGGTGACCCTAAATGCAATCTACTTGGTGACTGACTCAATTTTAATTCCTTTGGTTTGTGGTTGCAGAAAGGGCAACATTGTTACCACTTGCCTGGTCAAAGGTTACACATCCTGCCTTCGATCAATCCAGCTGGGACATGTGAGTGTTTTTAGATACTAGTCAGGTCACCTTCCAAGGGGAATCACTCAGCTAACCATCTGATTAAGGGGCTTCTGTAATGAGTGCTGCTACCAGGTATGCAATTAGCCTGGCTCTAGCTTGCCCTTTTTTTATGAAAGGCATGTTAGGTGTGCATTCATGGGAGAGCCAAGTACACAAAGGCAACTGGGAGCTAGAAAACTAAATAGCCTTCCTTTTTACATTTATTTTAACTACATTTTAATTACCTTTTTTTCTTAGTACAACACAAAGTTCTTGTGCTCACATCCCAGCATTCACTTTCCACTCAACATGAATCCTGTGCAGTGTCATGGCTGCTCTTTCTCTAAGGTCTCTATTGATAGAGAACCCTTACTTGGCACTTACAAGAGCCAAGCATCATCTAATGCTTTATTTGCTCAAGACTCATAATTCTTTCTTTTTCACAGAAGAGGAAACTGAAGCCACATAGCTTAGAACCTGTGCACTTAATCATGACCCAAATCAACATGATTGGGCCAGAGCAAACTAGTGAAGCCCTCTAAAGTTGTTCTGTGGTCTCCAGGGCCCTCTTTCTGCTTTTTCCCTTAGAAGTGCCCCTCCGCTGTCCCTCAGATGCTGCCATGCTAGACTCTAATCACCACCCCAACTCAAAGCAGAGATCTGCCATCTTAATTTACAATCTCCCAAATTCAGAATGGGTGCTGATGTGGTCCCTTGCAGGGGTGTTCTCTTGTTAGCCCTGCCGATCCAGCCATGTGTGCCCTGACTGCCGAGATTGATTCAGAGATGTGCCCATAACTCACATTGTCCAATCGGAGTTAATCTAAAAGTCCTCTTTGGAGCCAAGAGAAAAGAGGCTGCTTTTCCTGCTGGACTTGAAGCTGGGAGGCCTGGGAGGCAGGAACTGCTGCCTCATCGTGGGCCATGTGGAGTCTGAGAAAGGCATCAATACACAAAGGGGAGCAGAGCCCCGCCAAGAGCTGGAGAGAAGCTCCTGGAGACTCTCTAATCCCCAGTCTGGCTGGGTCTGAAGCTGGTTCTACCCCTGGACCTCTCAGCTCTGTGACCTAATACATTCCCTTTTTGTTGAAGTAGTTTGGATTGGGTTTTCTGACACTTACTTCAGAAACGAGTTCTTATGTCAGAAAATAAAAAGGTTGTCCAATGGCAGAGAGAAGCTACTGTGACCCTCAGAAGAAGCAAAGGGATGAGGTGGGTGTTGTGGCAGAGAAAGGTGAGAGGGAAGGGACTTACTGTTGAGAAGCTACAACACTGGTATTTATTTTCTCATTTAACGCCCCCGGAGTCTTGCAAAGAAAGTGACATGACCTCCAGTTCACAGATGAGGGAACCAAGGCTCAGGGAGGTTAGGTAATGTCACCCATTCACACTGTTTGTGACTGATCTGGCATTCAAGCCTGCGCCCATCTTGCTCCAAAGGCTACAGGTGACTTTCTGCCTCCAGGTTGCAATTAAATAGCAACACATGAACAAGAGAAGATAAACACACATGTTCACCTATGTTCAGAGTGCGTCACAAATAACAGGAGTGATGATGAGTTACGTGGGGCTGACCAAAGGCAACTTTTGTACCTCTTGAGTTTTGAGCTAAGATCCTAAGAATTAAAAGAATTGACTTGATCAGGAGAAGTGAGCAGGGAAGATAGGAGCAAATTGGGATGTCCCTTTAATCTGCTGAGCAAGAAAAAGACATAGCTGGGTCTCTAGAGTAGGGGATGATGGAAACTGGGGTTGGAGCCAGATTTATACTATGCCTATATGAAGAGCAGGATGGGAAAGCAGGCCTGTCATGAGGTTGCTAAGGCCTTGGAATGACACTGGGAGGGCCTTGTCTAGGATGGCAACTGGGAAAACATGGAAAAGGTGAATCCAAAGAAATGGTGATGGCCTTTCTGGTTCAGTTGCCCAAAGAGAGTGTAACAACATTGGGACGTGAGTCAGACTGGGTCTTCTTCACCTTCTCTTAGGCCTGGCACTCGATGGATATTGATATGTATTTATCAAATGAATCAATAAATGGATGAATGAATGAACAAGGCTCAATAAACTGGGAGGATGCTTCAGAAGCAGTAGCAAGATAATAGCTATTGATCAATGGCTGGAAGCTACGGAGAGTTCAAGAAGATTCAGAATGGAGCAGAACCATTTTTCTTTACAAAAGTGAAGTCATTAACTGGATGGGAATTGTGGTTTCTTTTGTGGTGATGCAGGTGGATGTTAAGCTGGAGAGGATGGATCTTTTGACTTAGTCAGATTACACCAGGTCTTACACTTTCCCACCAATCAATATTTATATCCTTAATGCCCCCTGGCTTCCCTTCTCACAGAAATAAGACAGGTTAGGAGCTAAATTCCAGGTGCCTTGCTCTCTGTTGACATATTTGTTATGGTATAAAAGCTAGCTTGCATGGAATGCTGAAGTGTTCTTTAACTCTGCTCAGCAGTCTCAGCAATTTCGCCCTCCAACCTGCTTATAGTTTTTTGTGGACTTGCCTTCTCTCTTAAAAAACATATTTTTTAATTTTTATTTTTCTAAGAATACATAATAAACTAGCATCAAACCAAAAAAAAAAAAAAAAAACAAAAAGCTTGTGGAAAAATGAAATTAAAAGATAATACTAATCTTTTCATAAACTTTTTGAAGACTCCACCAAAACAAATCAATTAAAAGAAAAAGTCATTTTGTGGTTTCCAACAGATTTTGTGACTTTACAGGTCTAATCTCCTCAACAGAATCTCTCCTTAATCTTTCCTTGTTTCTCCCAATGCAGGAAATTGTTCTGGTAAATGGAATCCCTCCCCCACAAATGCCCAGATGGCCATAGCAACAGGCCCCTCTGATCCTTCCCCAGGCTTATGGTTCTGTGTGCAGGGGCTCTGCACTGCTCCAGTGATCCCAGGAACTGGAATTCCTTTCCCAAGCTGTAGCCCTTGAATTTACTTCTTTCTTCTTGCATTACTTCACAGATAGACAATCTGAGTTAATTCCTTAAGGGTTCTTATACATTTAGCTCTTGCCTCTTACTTCTGCTGCTCTTCTCCACTTAAACACCCATGACAAATTCCC